CTAGGGAGGGATGATGTAGCATTGATTCCAGATTCAATGGACAAATTTTTATCCACCAGCAAATATCTGGTCATTAGAAAATAGGTTAATAATTTCAGAAATGTACAACATAAAAGGATCTTTGAAAGTATCTGTTCAATGCTCTTGTTTTTTAAATGAGGAGTATAGTGCTTAGAGGGGATAAATGACTTCTTGAAAGTAACAAGCTAGTTACAGACAAAGCCAGTACCCTAATTCAATGTTCAACGTACTTTGTGGTCAACAACAATACAGTTAGATAATCATTTAAGGTCTGCAGAGCAGAAACTTTAAATATTATGCATTTTTTGTGTATATTTTCAATCACTCAGTGATGTTTATTTCAGCAGCCTGAGGTTACAAACATATTAGAATTATTTAATTTGCCAATTAAAAATGGGCAAAGAACCTGAACAGACATTTCTCAAAAGAAGACATACGAATGGCCAACAAGCACATGAAAAAATGCTCACAATCACTAATGATCAGGGAAATGCAAATTAAAACCACAATGAGATATCATCTCACCTCAGTTAGAACTGCTATTATCAAGAAGACAGGAAATTACAAATGCTGGTGAGGATGGGGAGAAAAGGGAACCTTCCTACATTGTTGGTGAGAATGTAAATTGGTAGAGCCATTGTGGAAAACATTATGGAAGCTCCTCAGAGAAATAAAAACATCTACTTTTCAACCCAGCCATCTCGCTACTGGGTATATACCCAAAGGAAATGAAATCAATATATCAAAAAATCACCTGCAATCCCATGTTCATTGCAACAAAATGCAAAATAGCAAGGAGATGGAATCGACCTAAATGCCCTTCAACAGATGAATGGGTTAAAAACTCTGGTATATATACACAGTGAAATACTGTTCAGTTGTAAAAAGAAATTATACCGATCATTTGCAGCAACATGGATGGAAATGGAAACCATTGCATTAAATGAAGTAAGTCAGGAACAAAAAGACAAACAACCACATGATATCACTCATATGTGGAATCTAAAAAACAAGAAAGAAAGTTCCTATACAAGTAGGAAATAGAATAAAGGTTACCAGAAGCTGGGAGGGAAAGCGGGGAAAAGTGGTGGACTAACAGGTACTGTACTATCTACCCTAAGTGAATCATTTTGCAGTGTATGTATGTATTGAAACAACACACTGTGCCCCACAAATATTTACAAGTAAATGTTCAAACAAATTTTTAAAAATGCATACAGAAAATAAGGTTCAGTGAAGTGCTTGAATATGACTTTGCTTATAAGAAAAAAAGTCATTAAAGCATTGTTACCACCTGGAATTCAGAACAGCACTCTGTTTAAAGCTCAATGAGTCTATAAGTATATTATCATCTGGTTTACCTCGCCCAGCAGGTAAAATCTGCAAAGCACTAAGGTTGAACTTACTCATTACTACTGAATTAGTCAAATGACACCTGGAATTCAGAACAGCATTCTGTTTAAAGCTCAATGAGTCTGTAAGTATATTATCACCTGGTTTACCTCGCCCAGCAGGTAAATTCTGCAAAGCACTGAGGTTGAACTTACTCATTAGTGCAATCTATTTACATAGAATAGGTGTCATATTTGTTATATGTAGGAAACAGCATATGTATAATGACCAATAATTTACTAGACAATTAGGCAGCCCTCACTAAGGTAAAATATCTATATATATAAATATTAAGACCCTGGGCCACCTTATAGTGAAGAATATGGATCAAGAACCTGAATTCCAGCTTTACAACCACCTACCTGTGTGTCCAAGTCAGAGCAAGTTTACAACCTTCACTGAATCTCATGTCTCTCTTAATAATATATGTTACTGTACCTTACTAGGTTGAAGATGCAATGAAGCAAGAATTTCTAAGTGTCTAGCACAAAGAATAAACCCATTAAATTTTAGTGCCACTCTAATATGTCTTTCTAATAAAAGCAGTATCATTTACAATATGGGAACTATAAACATACAGATTGTATTTGTCCCTTTTAATCAAAATTTTATGGTATTGTTCACATAAGAGAAAAAGGTAAGACAAAGAAACTGTTTCTACAGCTCTTCATATGTCAAACTGAATTAAGACCCTGTGTTTCTAATTATTCTGCTGCCTGAGACCATCCCATTTTGACTGTCGAGCTTCTCTGCAGTTTCTAATGTTTCCTTCATCTCAGACACACACACGTGCCCAAACACAGTAAATCACAGTTAATTGCATGTCTTAAATTAAAAGACAAAAATAATGCACAATTAATTGGAGGAAATTGTCAGTTGGTGAATAAGTCCCACTCCTTACACCCTGTGCACAGGATGCATGCCAAATGCACATTCAAAGCCAAACAATTCAGTCCATGATACTGAGGAGAGGTGCACAGGCACAGCCCTTCTGCAGAGAAGTCTGGCCTGAAGAATCAAATGCTTTAAAACACACAACATTGCAACTACAGCATATATAGCTTTCTCTACAAGATGTTCAATATAGGACTGTGCACAATAGTAAGCAATTTGGGCTGACCCTGTGGCGGGTTCGGATCCTATATAGGAATGGCCAGTGCGCTCACTGGCTGAGCGCGGTGCGGGCGACACCACACCAAGGGTGTGGTGACCCTTACCGGTCATGAAAAAGACAAAAAAAACCCAATAGTAAGCAATTTGGGCTGACCCTGTGGCGGGTTCGGATCCTATATAGGAATGGCCAGTGCGCTCACTGGCTGAGCGCGGTGCGGGCGACACCACACCAAGGGTGTGGTGACCCTTACCGGTCATGAAAAAGACAAAAAAAAAACCCAATAGTAAGCAATTTGAACTAAAATGCTCATTGATAAGGGACTGATTAGAGATTAAGTTTGGGCCATTAATAGAAAAATCTCAGATATTTACAAATGATTTTGTCCTAATTAGTAACATGAGAAAATGTTCATCACATATTCTTATGTGAAAAATGTTTACAAAATTGTTTCCTTTTTTTGAAGATATATAATATGCAGATGAAGCAAGAGATGAGTGAAAGGAGGAGAAGGAGAAAGATACTGGGAAAATATATAATAAAAATGTTAACATTTGTCATCTCTGAGTTGTTCATACTTTCTAAATTAAAATTTTCTTTAAAAATCTTCCAAAGTTTTTAAAATTACATTTTAATTTGTGTCCAAATCTTATAAAACATTAGTCTTATTTAAAGATACATAATTTTTTAAGATGAACTTACCTGTTACAATAAAAACATCATCATAAAATTTAAAAAATAATCTCCAGTAAGCACATACATACAATCCTATTCTATACATGGTTATAGAAACAAGTCAACTTTACAAAAACGTATTTTATAAATATACAAAAAAAGTTCAGTACAATTAAATGTTCAATACAATAATATATTACAACAACTGCCTAAGAGTATATTAACATACCATAAGAAAATCACTGTAAATTCTTTTAAATTTATTGATGCTGACAAACTACAAAATATGTTCACAGTAAAGCCAATAAACTTGAATTTGGGAAACTGCAAACCTTCTCTCTTCCACCCACCTACTCTCTCATTATTTTCTACCTTGTAATAGAAAGACGTTACATCCAACCACCTAGTATAATTCTGATGCTAAAATCTGGCAATAAACAACACACACATTCTCTCTCTCTCTCTCTCTCTCTCTCTCTCTCTCTCACACACACACACACACACACACACACACACACACCTGGTTTCATCATTTTTACCAAAGTAGGTGAGGATAAACAACAAAGTTTTGCAATACAAGTTCAAAAAGCTCATGGAAAATGGAATTAAAAGGTAATATGAATCTCTCTATGAATTTTTGAAGCCCCCTTGTATATCACTAGTCATGCTACCTTTTATTTCATTTTTAGAGGAAAAGAATATACAAAACCCAACAGAGTAGGTTCATTCCAAAGGTATTCAATAGTCTAGTAACCTTGAAATAAAAAATAAACATTTCCTGCCCTCCCTTATTTATTAGGGAGTGGAGTGGGAAAAGATAATCATATTTCAGCAAAGGCCCATATCTCAACCTCAGGCATCTTTATGTCCCAAGGGTAATATTTTCATTCCATTCTTAATGGAACAAATTTCTAATCAGAATATGTATTCAAAAATAATTGAGGCAATGTAATGTCAACACATTATGCTGCCACCAGGCACCCCCTGGTTCTGGGAATCAACTGAACACCATCTCTGGTATGACAGCCTGTGCGATGCAGAAATGTCAGACTTGATGAAGGGAAGAGGAGATACCAAGGATACAACAGTTTTGCTCCCCACTGGGTGCTTCCCACAGTGTTTGAACAAAAGCTTCTAAGCTGGAAGAGGACAACCTTATTAAAACTTGTAAGAATGACGTAGAATGGGACCTAACTTTTAAATAGGAATAAGTACCTACTTTTATAATGTTACCGATACTTCAAACAATAGTCACTTCTGGAAAGGTTTATATTGCCCTAGATTTCTAAATTACTAAAGCCTTAGGGCAAGGTACACTCAACACATCCTACAATACTCAGAAAAGGTCCAGAGGTTTAAATTCCAGTGTCATCAAGTTTTGCAAAATATTGGTAATTGCTGAAGCTGAGTGATGGCAATAGGGTTCATTATACTATCTTTCTACTTTTGAGTGTGTTTCACATTTTCATAATAAAAAGTAAAAAAAAGAAAAGATTTCCTTGAATATATTTTAGGCTCAAAATTTTACTGACTTTTCCTTTGGAAACATATATTAATGAGATCTGACTTATGCTTATGATTATTTAAGACTCTAACAAGTAGTTTTAATTTCATAAAAATCTACCAAGCATTATGTTTTATGTTATCATAAAAATGAAAAAAAAAAATTCCTTTATTCCCAAAAAATTTTTACCATGATCTATGATGACATAAGAAGTTAACCTAAACAAATGCAGTGCCACCATCTGCCTGGCATTCTCACAGTGTGACAAAAGAGACTGGTAATTAACTGCTTTCCTACCGAAATCTGCCAGCTTTAACTCCCCCGTGTCACTGATCAGAAGGTTCTGCGGTTTCAGGTCTCTGTGCAAAATATAACGCTGGTGGATGTAAGACAGCCCTCGCAGCAACTGAAATAAAAACAACTGAAAAAATAGGGAGACAAAAGTTAAAATCTGAACATAGATAAATGCCATTATCTACATACAGTCTACCATGTACCTGTATTTAAGTGAAAATGGGTACCCATCACTAAATTTCCCACCAAATTATTTGAACAGAATGTGCATTTACATTAGCATGTAAATTCTTAATTTAAGAAGTAAATCTGAGAATTTCTGACAATCCTATTATATCAACTCAGAGTGTGATACCTCCTTTGCCAAAGAGATCTACACTCCAATCTGTGTTCAATAAATTAAGCAAAATGTAAAGAATCAATTCTTTATTTTATTTTTTCAGGCCTAAAATGATTTTTGAGAGAAAAGATCTATTCACAACACTATAAAGAAACAGAATTTTCTGTTTTACCAAGTTTAGGTAAGTGTGCATAGTTAATGCCATAAAAATGACATAACATGGTACCCATGGATTCACCAATTAATATGCTGTAAGGAATGGAAAGATAAGATGATTTGAAATAATCAAAACAAAAACAGTCACATGGTGCAATTAATACTACATTGTAATTATAGTTATTTTGTGCATATGGCCATAGAGATTAGGCTGTTGCCTAAAGACAGACATGTACCATCACTAATTACAGAGCAGACCCATCCTAAAAGGAAAGGAAATACACAAAATAGAGAAGTCAAGAATTCATTCTAGAGCAGTACTTTTGCAAGAAATAATTTAAGAACTGACTGATGGCCTTCTCTGTGAAGTTTCATATTGGATCATTCTCTTTTGATAACAAAAAGTGTGATTCATTAGGCTTCCCAATATTCTGCTGATGAAAAAGAGAATATTTTAAAACAATTCACTTGCCAAAATCATCCTAATTGACATAGTTTTTAAAAAATAAATCCGCTAAAACAAAAATAAAAGCAAGTGTTCTTACTTTTAAGTGCCACTAATATTCTAGTCTATATGACTAGCTGGTAACAAAAGGCAGTTTCAGAGAAATTTTAGATGAGTTGTAAGAGATCGATGGTATGAGGATTCTGGAATGTTCAAATGGAAAAGACTGGCAACTCCTTGAGGGCCCTGGAAGCCAGCATTTCTGGAATGTTCCGACTAAATAGGGGTGATAAAAGCAAAGTAATTTTTTTTTACAGGGAGGATACCTTGAAATAATGGTAAGATTAATTCATCTCAAATCTTTGTATGTGGTAATATGTATGGTGCAAGGAAGGGCTGGAAGCATTATTTCCAGAGAAAAAGTACCAGAAAACAAAAGTCTGTTCTGTGCTAGCAAAGATTAAAATACTAGCTCAACAACCTCAGGGAGCAAATATCTCTCTAGAATTCTCTTCCTCTCAAGCCATCCTGTACAGGAGATGGAAAGACTTGAGTTAACACCATCACCAGCAGCTTCTAGCTTCATTCCTCACTTCTAATACCCACTGCATCCTGAAGCCTGAAGCTTACAATTCATAAGAAAACCCATGCTCCTTTAGTTTAGAATGAGTGAGCAAATAAAAGCATTTTGTGTTTTCAGAGGCTTAAACATACAGAGAGAGAGAGAGAGAGAGAGAGAGAGAGAGAGAGAGGCAGATACAACACATAATAAACTTCATTTAAAAAATAAACCAATTTTGTAAAGAAACAGTTTGGCATTCTACAACATGCTAACTGATCTTTGGGACCTAGCAGAAACTTATCAGAATGTGATGGTCCATTTAACCGTGGCAATGCATTTTAATTTAACAAGCACATAACACTCACTGTGTGCCAGCTACTGTTCTATGCATCATAGAATACCACCCCATTTATCCTCTGTAACAATTTTAATGAGGTGGGTACTACTATTATTTCCCTGTTAGTGATAAGGAACCTGAGTGCAGTTTTTCAAGATCACAAGGCAATTAAGTGGCAGAGCCAGGGCTCAAATGGAGACAGTCTGACTCCAAAGTCTATGTCCTTAACCACCCCAATATAGGAATCTTGGCCAGAAATCAACAGAAGTAGGCAGTGTTGATAAAGAAGCTTCTTCCTCCAACTGATAGTATAAAATCTGAGCATCTAATAAATAACATGGCTTCTCAGGACACTTAGCTGAGCACCAATTCCAACTGGGTGCTCAGGCATTACTACTCTACATTCCCAGGCTCCAAGCAACCTTGCCCACCCCCACACTCAGAGCATGCTACTCTTCAACTCTGTACCTCTGTCTTTGCCTCTTCTCTGTCAGAAAAGCCCTCTGTACCCTCTACCTACTAATCTCCATGGATTCCTAAGGTCTCTCCTTAGGAAACACTTCTCCCTGGAGCCTTGCTTGACCACCTCCCTGGGTCCCCACCCTCTCCAAATCTCTGCAAGGCAATCATCTGTGCTCCCAGAGCAGTCTCTGCATACATCTAGCACAGTGTGGAATTTCTCCTGCCTCCTATAGACCGTGTGCCTTAACCATCTTCATAACCTGGGCACATAATTGGCACTCCTATACCAGTAATGTGATTACTGAACCAAATTTGGAGACATCTGGATGGCAGCAGATAAAAAAAATAACAGATAGGAAATGCTAGAATGGGATTCTCTAGAATCTAAGGGCAGAAGTGGATAGATCAAGCATTCCCAAAGGGCAATACTACCTTTACCAATTAGTAAAAATAAATAATCCTCCTATTAATACAGAAGCTATGCAAACAGGACATCATATTAAAGGACTGAGAAAATAAGTATTAGGAAATGGTGCAACTACATACTCCAATAATAAACACATACATGACAAACTAAGTCCTACATGTGGCAAATACAACCCCAAACAAATTATTAGCTCTTTGAGCAGTGCAGAAATTAAGTCAGAACAAATGTCCATAAAATAAATTCATTTAGGGTTTATTAAGTGCTAACCATATATGCCAGGCACTGTCATGCAAGAGGGATGCAAAGACGATTAAGATATAAGATTTGGTCCCTGGACTTGAGGGACTCACAGCCTATTGGGTATGACAGACACATAAATAGAGCACTAGCACTGAAAGCGATCTCCATTGTAACAGCAATGCAAACAGAGCGAACCGAAGGCACAGAGGAAGGAGGATTTAACAACAACAAAAGAAGTAGTAGAATTGATTCTGCCTTTACAAGAAAAACAGCCTGTGAGAAGGGAATGAATCACAGGGAACTTGCCACTCTGAAAACGTAATTCATTGCACATAAAATTTTAACAGGAAACTGAGTTGAGCATTCACTAGACACAGAAGTTGAAATGATGCTGTGATAAGCCCCTTGCTATTCTGAGGGAGAAGTTGAGGAGCCCAAGCAAGCAGGTACAACATAAGAAGAAAAACTCAAATGAGAGAAGACAATATATAAAACTGTAAACCAACAGACTTCATTGAAACCATAAGGAAACTAGTTGTTTCACAAATAATGTTTTAACGTGTTTAACAGAATATGCTGGTAGCTGGGGTGGGAAGGCTCTGAGGAAGCAGGGCCTTGCTGAGTTAGTAAACTGCCTTAGGGACTCCTGTTTGGGACTGCCCTGTGAACTCCGGTCTTGGGGATTTCTTCATTTAGATGAGCTGGCAAGTAACCAACTTTCCCATTTAAATTCTTTGGAAGGCCATTTCACTCAGTTGTTGTATAAACCACAACACAACAAGCTACACTTGATCTTTTGTGAAAAATCAGAGGACACTGCGAGAACAAGAAGGACCACCAAAGAGGAGGCCACACACAGAGAAAGAGTAAGAATCAGCTTTGCTGATAAAACTTGTACTGAAAAGAAAAGGAGCGAGACTAAAACTAACTGACGGCTTAAAGGCTATTCCAAGTACATCTACATATATTACTTAATCCTTTCTCTCTCTAAGCCTGCATTTTTCCTTTTTTATATAAATAAGAAAACTAAAGCTCTAAAATAAAAAGAAACTTACTCAAAGTCATCCGATCATCATTCATCACTTGTCAACTTTCCAATACAACTCATTATTTTAAATGAGGTGGATTCCAAATAAATGTACGGATGAATACACTTATACAACTAATATAATCAAAGTGCTTTTATTATTAAGTGAATCTAAGTTTGTAAAAGCCTCAATTAGCATATGATGTAATAAGCACATTATTATTGAATTCCTGTTTTTGCTATTTAAAATCTTCTTAGAAATAAATAACATAGTAGAAGAGAGCTTCGTGTACTGAAGTTGACAAACTAACAGATTTGAAACTCTCTTTCTTTCTACTGTAATAGCCATAAGATCATCCTAAGAATACTTTGTTGCTGTTGAAAATTTTATTAAATATTAAAAGAGATTCCTCCATATCTGTCAGTATGGCCACTGAAGAATTATATTCTAGTTTGAATATGTTGGGCCGGCCCAGTGGCGCACTGGATAGTGCGCCGCTTGGGAAGCATGGCGGCGCTCCCGCTGAGGGTTCGGATCCCACATACAGACCGGTTCCCGCTCACTGGCTGAGCGAGGCGCGGGAGCAACGCCGAGGGTTGCGATCCCGTTGCCGGTCCCCGGTCCGGTATGGGGGCAACACTGAGGGTTGCGATCCGTTGCCAGACACGGAAAAAGACAAAAGACAAAAAAAAAAAAAAAAGAATATGTTCACTTTCTGCAATAAAAGCCTCCAATGAGAAAATGCCTTTAATAGCAATGATATACATAACAGGACACTTTTGCCAGCAGCAGTTCTATCTTTAGCTCAGTTGTCTTGCCATCTCCAGCAGGAAATAGTTCACACTCTGAGTGACATGGCATAAACTTCTCGGGAATATTCCTTAATACTCCATCTATTCCCTTCTGAAACTCTTTAGAGTTTAACGAGGTAGAAAACATCAAGATAAGGTCTTCTATCACAATATCTAAAGTACGTAGATAAAAAGCACACACTATTGGACTCAATATGTTATATATATTACTCAGAAGAATTACCAGAACTTTCAGTAAGCAACAAATTTTACAACCAACCCTCTCATTAATGTTTAAAAATGGGATATTGGGGGTACAGGGTCCCACCTACAATGACA